GAGATGGACATCAAATCACTTCTCCTACTACATCATACAGTAGCAGTGCAGAGGTTTCCCTTAATTTAAGGCCAGCCTCGTCCAAGAGACAAAAGTGTAATTTTTGTGATCGAAAAGACGTACTCTGCCAAACGGGATATGAGGAAGATGTGAATGTTGCCGCTTTTCCAGCGTGGCCTTTGATAGGAGATCTATTATATACGCACAGTGAGAGAGTGATGTGAAGGGCTGGCCGCGCAGGCAGGCAGGCAGACGTCACTCTGACTCGGGCGACGCAGGTTTACGAGGAGCTAGCAGCTGATCCGTCATACTGCCCCTTGTTCTTCGTCAGGTAGCTTGCCAGATACTCTATCGGGTTGTCGGGTCTGAGAAATGCGCAACCAAGTCAGTCCGTAAGTTGCAGTCACTTATGTCAACAGTTACGTGCAATAATGTTGCAACAGTTACGTGTAATAATATTGCAACAGTTACGTGCAATAATATTGCAACAGTTACGTGCAATAATGTTGCAACAGTTACGTGTAATAATGTTGCAACAGTTACGTGTAATAATGTTGCAACAGTTACGTGCAATAATATTGCAACAGTTACGTGCAATAATGTTGCAACAGTTACGTGTAATAATGTTGCAACAGTTGCGTGAAATACCGAGATGCCAAGAGATTAGATTAATTTTGCCAGAGTATAATACATGAATTATCTGCACCTCAAAAGCACACGTAATCGATCTATTTACTTCTTACAATTCGAATACTTATAAGGTTCGACATAGATCTTCACCTTTCTTTAGCGAATGTTGACAAGCCTTGAAGAAGGATTGGCACGACGGTTTGATCGAGGTATTGTCGTGTCGGCGGGGGGGATGGGGGGGTGGAGGAAGCTCTAAATAAGAGCAAAGATTTAGACCTTTGTTAACAGGTCAACAAATCCATGTTTAACCCACCTCTCTGATGGTCAAAAGCCTTATCAGACCACATTACTTCTTTGCATGTCAGCGGATAAGTAGATTCATGGTCCTTCAAATAAAGTGAATAATAATCGGTAGGTCAGCGCTGAATACAAAAAAGTTTGACACTGCGGTCCGGTTAGACCATCGTCCTCAGAAATGTCTGATATCTGACCTTCCCCACTGCCACTTTGACCTCCCCGCCGTCATGAGTTCCTCCCCATTCACAACTATACACGCGAATATTAAGAGATAGGTCGAGCCGTGCGATTTGTGCCGCAATCCGTATTTCCTCCTAGTACCTTAATTTAAGGGAAAGATTCTCCTCCATTGACACATCTCGAAATTTTGGAACAAGGGTCAAAATGTCGAGATGTGTCAGAGGGAGAAATCCCCCCCAAAATTCGACATCCTGAGTCCTTTCAACGAATCCCCCCCCCCCCGACGATCCCGAATATCAAGACCGTACGTCGAATCGGGTTAAGATTTGTGCCCAACAGCACCGACGCACGGACATCATGTGAGTCTACAAGCCGCATACCGAGCTACGTCAGCTGAGCTAAAAATACTAACGTTTCTCCAGAACCACATCAAAGTTTTAATTTTGTAAATGCCAATTTTAAAAGAGTGAGTGAGAGAGCGGGAGAGAGGCAGAGAGAGAGAGAGGGTAGACGAGACAGAGCAATAAAAGAGAAAGAGACAGAGAGAGAAAGAGAGAGAGAGAGAGAGAGAGAGAGAGAGAGAGAGCGAGAGAGAGCGAGAGCGAGAGAGAGAGAGAGAGAGAGAGAGAGAGAGAGAGAGAAAGAGACAAATAAGCAGAACAAACAAAGAGACAGGAATCGTGGCGGACGCGTCACCTCAACGTTTTCAGCGACAGCTTCCTTCGCGCTCTCCTCCTGACTGTCATTGTCCGCCGGCGTCTCCCCCGTCCCGTTCTCCGCCGCCGCCGCCGCCGCATCTCTCTCCTTCCCCTCCGCCGCCTCCGGCTCCTCAATCTTGGCAACCGCTTCCGTTGCCGAGGCGACGTCCGCATCCGGTAACGCCTGAGCCTCAGGCGCTGCTTCCGGGGCTGTCGGCTCCGGCGCAGCGGCGGGGACGGTGGCGTCCTCTGCCGGGGGTTCGGCAGGTGGTGCCGCCGCCGCCGCCGGTTCCTCGGTCTCCGCCGGGGCGGTCAGCTCCATCTCCATCGGAGTCTCCTTCTGTTCCTCCTCCACGGGCAAGTCGCTCGTCTCCTTCACTTGTTCTGTTTGAGGGTAAAACGCACGAGGCGAAACCTGTTACTAATTATATTAATTTTGCTTCCATTATGTTTATTTTATTATATTTTATTATATTAATTATATTATATTATTTATATTATATTTATATCTATAATTTGGGGTTTTCCTAGTGTAGCAGCTATACATCAAACCAACTTCATATAACGGATAACTGCCCATAGAGGTTTCCTCATGTGGTCATTATAGACAGGTCCGACTGCATAAGTGAGTTTGGATGCGAAGAAAACTGGAGAGCATTTGAGAATGAGTTTGGAGGCGAGAGTCTGAGCGTCATGCACTGAACAAATTCGTACGACGAGCGAGAGTTTAGATGTTTTGCTGGAATCGTGAAGACAGTGAACTTCGCAGAATCGGGGGTTAAATGTTTGATCTAGTGCAGTGCACAGTACTATGCACAGTATAAGAGATATCGGAAAGTCCAGCTGTGTTAGTTAGGTCATAGGAAAAGGGGTCTAAAAATGGCCGCGGCGGGCTAGGGGGGGGACGGAAAGTCGCATGATTAATGTAAACACTCCAGTGCGTTTTTTAGTTTTTGAATTAACAGTAAACCATTGCAAAATAATCCCAAATGAACGCACAAATCAATATTCAAGGGTTCGAAAATCCTAATCAGGTCCGCGGGCCCAGATGCCCGTAATTTTACAAGCGTCGGGCCTGGCCCACCCCATAGTCTAATACTAGCAAGCCCGGACGGCACGCCTGTAGAAAATGCCACCCCCACAGCATGCAACAGCAACGTCACTAAGTTACCTCAGCGCCGGATTCAGAAGAAATGGCAGAAAATTAAGACA